AATTTTTTTAAAATTAAAAAAAAAAAAAAAAAAAAAAAAAAAGAATTTTAGGACAAATAATTTACAGGTGGCAGAAAATTAAAGGTATCTTTGCACTTAGTTGGAAAATATAAATTCAACAGTACATGGAATTCAGAATCAATAAAGCAAAGAAGATTGTGCTGTTTTCAAGTTCTAAGAATCTTTAGAAATAACTATAAAAAAATAAAATTCCACTAAAGTCAGGAGTCAACAACGGGATGGCTCTCTCAATGCCATGAAAACTTCATTTCTAGTCTTTAAACACAGTATACCTTTCAAAAAAGTTCCCAAATTTTTCAAGCATAATTAATTTTCAAGCATCCGTTACATGACATGTGGATACTGCAATGAAAAAGCACAAGCTTCCCTCCATGCTAATATGGCCACATATTACCAATTGCCAACACAGCCAGAAAGTTGGGAGAAGAGCTCTATAAATCTAGAGATATATCAGCTGCTTTGTCACATACATCAGGAAAAGGGCAACTTCCAAGTCTAGAAGCTGAGCACCACATCTCACAAAACATTTGTTTAAATCAGTATATGATTATAAAGAAACAGATATTCTTCAACTTTCTGTATTGAACATGTTTTTCTACTGCTGTCCCCTGATTATAAATAAAATGATAATGAAGAGACTTGCAAAAAGCTCACAAGAATAAAATAAACCCATTAATAGCGCATGGCAAAAGCAAAGGAATGCTTTGAACTGGGTAACAAATAACTAGAGCCAATGAATTTTCTCAGAAGAAAGTATCTAATTTCCTGCAAATATCCCCAGAGTCTGCAGCAAGAGAAGAACAACATTGCCTTCTGTGCCCTTTGTATGATGCAGCATTGCAAATAACAAACTAATCCCCTTTGGCAGAGCATGATCTACAGATGTATGTCTTAAGGAGACAACAGAGCTGAGATATTTTCAGCAATTCAAGATACCAGAGGCTCTGGGATTCTCCAAAGTAATTGTTTAGCTGGGATAAAATTGCTTTTCATTTGTTTGTAGCCCACAGGCCAAAGTACATGAAAAAAATACTGACTGTTACTTGAGTTGCTTCTGTTGCACCAGGAAAAATTACATTCATTCTACCATCAGCAGAGTGACTGGACTTTAATATGTTTTTAAGAGTTAGGCTCTTATCCAGTGCCTGTTGGGGCTTGCCGTTATTAAAATTAGATGACTGAACATTTTGTCAAAGTAGATGTCTCTGAGAATGAGCATGAAGCAGGCAGACACGAGATGTTTTGGGGAATTCAGCTTTTACTCATCACATAAACATTTATGGAACATTTGTCATTTGCAGGATGTTATGTGACATAGTGGGGAATTAAAGTAAATAGGAAAAAAACCTTTCCTTCATGGGACATCCAGTCCAATAGGGGAAAAGACAAAATAAACAAACATAGACTTGCTAAATACTAAAAGAAGGTTCATACCAGGCCTTCCTTGATGAGGTTTTGTTCATCTAACCTTTGCACAGAGGCGCAAAGACTTCATCAGAGTCTTGTACCACTGAACACACACAAGACAACTCAGCAACTCAAAGATTTCTTAGCATCAGAAAAAAAATAACTCAAAATGTATCTCTAATTGATATTGGCTCCAGAGTATCAGCATTGAGTATTAGATACAATACACTGCTACAGTATAAAAAAATTGGTAAGACGGACTTCTTGGTTGTGCCTATTTTCAGGCATTAACAGAAGAAAGGGCCATCCAATCACAAACTCAGTATTGCACAAGAAGTGAGACAGTAGATCGATAATATCAGTCTCCCTTGTCCCAAAGCCAACAATTTCAACCTATGTAACAGATAATCAAAGGTAAATCTTCATTCAAAAGCAGAATTTTTATATATTATGACTGGACTTTCTCCTTGACACTGCTATAATTGTGGATGGGTGAAGTCAGTAGATGTAAACAGTACTGTGAAGTTATTGTGATTTTTTGAGGTTTTCTTGCATAATTATTATGTCCTTCTATTCCATCATAGGGTTCTAAAAGGGAGCAGAAACAATAGAAAAATTATGCATAATTATGCAAGAGGATTTATGAAGGAGGCTTACAGGATCAGAGGCACAGGAGTGCACAAGAGTCATTTGTGGAATCAGAAACAGAAAAATCTACAATGGCTCTCTGCAAGCTGGAGAGCCAGAGTATACAGTAGCAAAGTTGAAACATGTACACATACCTACTCCCCACAATGAATGTTATTATGTACTAGAAATGTGATCTAGTAAAAAAAAATTTTAAAGCTTAAAGGCCTAGAAGCTCATTGTAGAATTGCTAGTGCAAGCCTGTGTTTGAAAGCTGAAGAAACTGGAAACTGCTGTCTAAAGGCAATGGCAGAGACTGAAGCTCTTCCAAATGGGAACACTTCCTTCTTCTTTCCCTTTTTATTCTATACAGACCTCAAGCCTATTGGTTGAAACTACCCACATCCAGAGTGGCTCCTCCTCTTCCATTTACTGGACTGCATTTTAAGCATCCATAAACATACTCAGAACTTAGCAGTCTTCAAGGCAATTCTTACTCAACTCAAGTTGACATGTTTCAATTAGGGTCACATTCATATAGCAGCTGATTTGTAGACAGGTCTGACAATCAATTCGATGTGTCAAATGTTGAATACAAAGTGTGAAATTGAAGGAGTTTCCAGGCTAAATCTACAGACACTTCTGATAGTTATAAATAATTATAATTTTCAGTCTTTTTATTGCTCTAATACAATAAGAGTCATAGACACTCCTTGGCTCCAAGAAAAGAAAGCTACCTTTACAATGAAAACTACCTACTAATAGGCTTTACAAAGGCTGGTAATCCAAAGTTGTTTTCCTATTGCATGGGGCCTGGGACAATAAATATCTAACTGCAGGATTGCTCCAACAAAGTGAGAAAAAAAATGTACCACATGTAACAGCCATTTAACAAGTAAAGATGCTAATTATTATTCATTCATTCATTCGTTCATTTATAGAAGAGGTCTCACTGTATTTCCCAGGCTGGCCCAGAATTTGAGATTCTTCTTCCTTAGCCCCCAAAGTAACTAGGATTACAAGTACAGGCTCAGTTTTGGTTATTTGAAATGTCAAGTGGAAAGGCTCAGGAAATAAGTTTCCTAGTAACAGAACACATCTTGTGACTATACTGAAAAACAATGAATAGTGAATTTTGAAATAGTGAATTTTACAGTATGCAAATTATACCCTAATAGGAACAAGTAAAGGCCAAAACAAGCAAAGGCCAAGATAAATGATTTTTAAAATTAAAACAACTATTGTTTATCTTATATTCTCAACGCACTGTTTTCCTCTGTTATAGTTTTTACAAAGGTTATCCTATGTTGTAGTCAGTTTTGTAGCTCTCCAGCTAGATTTTATTATGATCAAGAACAATCATCTCTAAGATTTATTCCTTTTAACCAAGTAGTGACCAAAAATATTAACCAGTTTCCATTTTTGCCTCAGGGACTTTATAATATCCTCACTAGAGTTGTTGAACATTTGGGAAGAGCCCAGCCTATGCTTATAAGAAGCACAGATTACAGAATCTTTGAGCTGAGTTATCAATCTTCTCTGGCCTGTAGTCTCAGACTACAGCTCACACCACCAACCCTCCTGATTCTCAGGCTTTCAAATCAGACTGGAACCCTACCATCAGCTCTTCTGGACCCCCAGCTTGCTGACTGAAGATCTTGTGACCTCTTGGCTTCCATAACTGCATGAAAAATTACACACACACATATATATGTGTGTGTGTGTGATGAAGAAAAATTGAATTGGTCTCTTGAAGAATGATGTGTGTGATCAATAGTCACTTTAGTGGCTATAGAGTACAAAGGATAAGTAAAGAGCCCAGGCTAGGCTAGATCATGTTTTCCTCCTCCTCTAGGTATCTCTAAATCTAGGCATACTAGCCAAAAGCAAGGGATTTTATTTTTTAGACAATGCGTTTGTTTCTCTCTATGCTCACAGACTTCACCTCCTAGAGGAAAGCTTCAATCCATGCCAAATTTAAACATGAAGTCCTAAAATGTCTGCTCTGTCAAGAATATCCCAACATATCCAATGCTATTCCAGAAAATGAGAGATAGAAAGCAAGAGAGATGGGGAGACAGCAACAGAGACAGAGAGACCATAATACAAAATATGAGATGAGAGACCATCTCAGAGAGTTGAGAGAGTAGCCTATCCGTAGGAAGGCATATCCCAAAAATCATAAGTGAGGGATAAAATGAAACAACCTGTCAGGTAAAGGTGGCTTTCTTGCTTCCAAAATTCCCCCTGTACCTAACCAACACATCTGGGACTCTTAACTCTGTCATCTCCCTTTCACATCAGTAAAGCTGAAGTGTTCTTGTGTCAGAGCGGGTCTTCTGGAGCCCACCTAAGCAGCAAAGATACAATTACTGTACTTATCCAATACAGTAATTGCCTTCCAAGAAGATATTTTACACAATTTTTCCAGTGACTTCATCTAGCTGTCTTTAATAACTTTGGTCATTTTCGCTTTAACATTATGTATGGAATTGCCCCAGACTTTCAAGGCAACATTACTGAAAAATCCTACTTTTATTCATGTTTGGAATTCTTTCAAAAATTTAATTGTTAAATGTGTTCCAGCATGACCACAATATTGCATGGTTATCTTGTAAGCAGTAGAGGACAGGAGAGAGAAGCAAAGAGGGATGAGAGGGACATACTTCAGTAACTTTCTGAAAAAGAAACTGAAGTAGGGTTATACAGTAATGTCCTCCTAGTTAAAATATATATATAT